GGATGAATCCTATCTGGACCAGGTGACTTGGCAGGTTTTAGGCGGAGTAATTCTGTCCTCATCGATGCAGACGAGAAGTCGAAGGCATCTTCTCCTGCAAATGTTTCCTAATTTTGTTGTTAGTCTGGTTGGCGGAGAGGACAGGATTTGTTTTGTGGGTGAATACTGACTGAAAGAAGCCAAAGAAGACTGAGGCTTTTTTTTGCTCATTCGTCTCCAGTACATGGTTGTGGGACCGCAAAGCTGGACTCAGGTCGCGGTTTCTTTGGTTGTTACGTATGTGTCCCTATAAGATCTTGGGATGTCGCAGTATGATAAACTCAGTTCCTACTTACAGTTACAGTTCCGCTTAAAGATACCCCATTGTCGTTTAAAGTCCTGCAAGTGTTTGACAGTCCACGTCATTTGAACGCGGTTCCACATTTTATTTCTTATTTGGAAGGAGACCTGAAGTTCACAGTTTATCCACAGCGGACGCATGCCGGGGAAATGTCTCTTCCAGGTGTTCTTTTGCAGTGGTTTAAGTGAGTCCGCCTGTGAGAATATTGAATACTCAAGCAGTAGTACTATATGATCGCTAGCACCCATTGGCGGGAGATCTTATAGCTCCGGCACTCTCTATTCATCTCGGGTGAACACAAGGTCCAGATAATTCGAATTTTGTCCTTCCCTAACACGTTTGCCGAATCATACATCCTGGTAGAGTAATTTTTCCGCTGCCCTCTCAAGCAAACGAGGGCTGAATGTATTCGATGAACCCGAAGCAGACCAGTTTTGGTAGTCGATGTTTGCAGCGGGCAAATCTCCGACACTAAGGAGATTTTTGTTCGAGGAAACCTTGTTCAGTTCACTCGGGAGAAGGAAATCTCACTGGAAGATCTTGTTTGGGGGACGGTACACAACTGCAAATGTCCGTGGCCGGACGTATTTAGTTGAGATAATCAGGGATAAAACTTCAATGTTTGCGGTCATGGTATGTAACTCTGAAACTACAGTTATATTCGAATGAACATAAACAGCTATTACTCCTTCGCGACTCGTTGTGTCTCTTCTAAAGAGTTGATAACCAAGGAGGTTTAAATCAAATATCTTCTGAGAGCCATGCTTCTGTTAGTGCAATAATATCGGGGATTCTTTGATCAACAAGCATCGGAAGCTCGTTCATTATATTGCACGGACACTGTACGTTTGCGTTCATAAACTTAATTTTTCTTTTCCTCGGGTTATTTTTCATCTTCTTGGTTACCTTTATTGAAGGTCGCGTTGGGGAGACCTGGTCTCCATTAGGACGGGTGTTCCCCACAAATATGACTTTGTAATGTTCGTAACACTTAGCGTTAGTGGATGTCTCCAGAGGAATGACTTCTGGGAGGTGGTCATTTCCCCATACATATGCGTAGGTTCCTCTCGCCTGCACTTAGTCTCCTGTGAAATTCGGTTATCAATTCCCTCCACTTCTCTCGCCCAGCCGATGAGCAACCCCTCGGGTGAACGTTCCGTAGTGCTGGTTTTCTGTTAAACAGTGAAACCACTAGCTCTTCATTTTTAAGGACAATCTTTAGCGGTCTGGGTTGACTCGAATCCTCCTTTAAATATTTCTCTTGACCCATCCTAAAGGCTTCTAGGACGCTGATTTACTCGTTTCCATTTAGGATTTCCTCGTGTCCATTTAGGAGAGGTTTGAAATATTGTCGAAATAATTGAATATCATGGTGTATTCTGGTCTTTGAGAAGTATCTGAAGCGGATTTAGTCAGGCCTTTTAGGCGATGCACTGACTGCGATGAATTAAAAGGTTTTGCTGTTTTTTTGAAAACCCAGCGACTACTTTACGCCAATTGGCGTTGTCATAATCCTTTGATGCAGAGACAAGTGCCATTGCAGAACTACTCCACGGTTCCTCGTTTACAGAGGCTTCTTGCTTATGAGAGATCTCCTTCGGAAACGCCGCAAGCGTTGGAATTGCCTGAGGTCTCTGCCCCCTCGTACTAAGACACGGACCTATTGTATTTTTCCGGGGTAATGCGGGACGTTCTTTATGTTTCCTATGTGGTGGAACTGCTTTTTAATTCCTCATGTTAATCTTCTTCGGCTTTTTGGATCTTTTTGTTTCGTCCTTTTTAGCGGCTATACGTTACCCTATAGACGCGCTAAAATTTTCCTCATTGCTTGTTGCGTCTGAAGAAGCTGTGGTTGCGTAGCTTTTCTTGGCTGATTTAGCGCCTGTAGTCTTCGATTTCGTGTCTTTGGGTAAAAAACATGGAAGTTTCTTCAACTTCTAAATCTCAGTTTTTGAGGCCGTCACTGACCTTCTGCATGTTCAAAAGGCTTTTGAACGGTTCCGTGCGAGGCGATTCGGTGGCACCGAATCGGGGAATCCAGTCATCAGCATTAAGACCGATGCTTATACGATTAATTAAGTCAAAGAAGGAGGCGTACAAAGATAGTTTAGTGGGTTTATGGCACACCTCCGGGCCTTCGAAACCAGGTTCGAATCCCTCTCTTGATGAACATTTTGTATGATTCCCTAACAATTTATTATCAAGTCTCACATAAGATCGAAATAAGGATAGGCTCTATTAAAATAATATGAAGGAGTATAAGCTAGATCAACGTTATGAATACAATGTCGAAACGATTCAGCCGTTCGTAGGCTAGAGAATCCCGGAAAACAGTTGGCAGTGGACGGTCATTTTGACTGTTGTATTGCTGCAGACTTCTGAGGCTGAAGATATTTGAACAAGGCGAAGATTACGAGATTAGCAGAATTTAATGATTTCATAAAATTTCGTGACCTCTTATTCAGCTGCAGAAGGTCGTTGCCTATTAATAAAATAATTGACTGTCCAATTAAGTCTCGGTGTAGAAAGGTGAA